TCAATGCAATTTTAAACTAGAAAAATAGATCTTGGTTTTTATCTTTCACATTGAAAAAAAAATCCCAATATTTTTTATTTGATATTTAAAATGGTCATTTTCTACAAAAATGTAAAACAAAATAAATAAATTCTGAAACAAATTCCTAATCGGGGTAAATCATTTAACAATTTTGGCTTGTGGTAAATTTGTTAAAAAACAATCAATATCTAACGACATACATGTCCCCTTTTCTAGCCGTTGACTCATATCTTTTGTATTTTTGATATTATGATTTTTTATTTTCATAATTATATAAAAACATGCCATAAATAAGTACGGTGTACGATGAAGTGTTCAGTTATGGAAAAAGAAAAAAAATAGCCAATATTTGACCCGAAACTGAATAAAAGTTATCATTAGTATAATGAGCGGAAAACATTTTGACATTAAAATGCCTTTCTGACCTTGACCTTTGACCTAGCGATCCCAAAATATATAGGGTTATCTACTAGTTATGATCATACAGTATGTGAAAAATGAAGATTGTGTGATATATAGTTTTTTAAGATAATGAGCGGAAACCATTCTGACATTTAAGACCCTTATACCTTGAACTTTGACCATGTGACCCTAAATTCGATAGAGTTAATCTTTTACATATGACTAATCAATATGTGAAACATGAACACATTGTGATAAATGGTTTTAACATAATGATCGGATACCATCCTGACATTCCATGCCCTTTTAACATTGACCTTTGACTAAGTAACTTCAAACTGATCAGTGGTCATCTACTAGTTATATCAAAGTAGTATGTGAAATATGAAGACTTTGTGATAAATAGTTTTTAAGATTATTAGAGGAAACCATATGGTCTATCGTCGGACCAACAGATAGACCGACCGACATTAGCAAACAATAAACCCATGCATCTGCATCCAGATATTAAGGTTATTAAAAATTGATCAAGCTACATCTTATATTAAAGAAGGGATGCTTAAATAATATTGGGAGTTTTGCAACATCAGGTGCAATTAATAGAAGAGAAAATGTAAAAGAATGTTTAGATATTACTATATAATTTAAATGAAAACACTTGTACACAATATTAGTCCTATAAGCTGGACTTTTTTACTTTTCATTCGTCTTCACATCAGCACAGACACGGCTAATAAAAGCAAACAATACTCATTCTCAGTTCTGACTGTTGTTTTCCTTCTGACGACAATCTACTTGATGACTTTTTTCTCCCAATATAATTAACCTGGTGTAATGTGACAAAATTGTTTGCATTATAATGCTCTATATGTCTGTATTACATACATGTATATAGCTCTATTATATTGTAACTTAAAGTGAGATCTTTATGGATAATTACATATTTTATATATGTGCAATAATTCAACTTGTTGAGTTTATTTCCCTCAGACGCCATAATTGTTGAATGAGTTTTTCCGATTGGGAAGTACCTTGGAATCTGATATTCCCGTTTGAGAAGTTTTCTTTCTAAATCGGGAAGCTCTGATTTTGTACATTTTCAATATCAGATAGAAATATCTAGGGAATCTTAAACATTTTAAACATCTGAACGGTAAAAGTTGAATATATATTTTTCAGATTTGAAACAATTTCAGCAATGACTAGCGATTGTGAATTGCTAAGAGGCGATAATCTGTTATCGAGATCAACGAAATTTTCTCATTTTTTGACTCTCATCGGAATTTTTCATTTGACAATACAAAAGTGAACTCCCTTCCCGAAATTACTCATCATTGCAATTCCTTTTGCGTATATATAAATATGTACTAAGCACAAAATATATAAATTTTCCACTTTAGAAGATAAATATCTGTAAAAATTGATAATGCTATGTTACTTCATATATATATACAGTTTAAATGGTAAAAAAATGAAATACTTGTTAACAATTGTTTAATGGGGACGTTTTGTAAAGGGAACGTTACTATGCTATACATCAACGCGCCAAAAGAGCTGGACCAGACGGAAAATTACTGGATGCACCGACAAAGCGGCATCTCCTGTCATTATATGATGACAAAAACTTGCAAATCGCATAATGCTTACCGCTGATTGCTTAGTACTTTATTAACATATTACTATAATTTTGTTATCGATGTCATCCACCTTTTCGATGGGCAGTTTTAATGTCTTGCATTTTATTTGTGATCAGTGAACACATTGAAGAATATGAATGCTGAGAAACGTCAATTTCGCAAAGTATTGATCAAGAGCAATCATTAATTGTACAATAGTGTCGACAATGTCAATGGCTGACTTGTAGCAAATACAGTATTGACAGAGACTTTGTTATATCAATAACACGTATAGAATGTTCTTTAAAACGCCTAACAAAATACGCTCTCATAAATGAAAGATACAAATGATCATGCAGCATATTAAATATGCCAGTTACATGGTTCAGAAAGGAACACATGAAGTCGAAATTTCATTTAGTAATCATTATGCATAATGTTTTTCAGCGAAAGGAAGGTTATAAAGAAATATAGAAGCAGGCATAAGGTAAGTTCCAATACCATCATTCAAGATGAAAAATATGCACTCATTCTATTCCGTATTTCTTTTACAAAAAAAATCGATGTGCAGACATGATAAATAACTTTGTCAAACCAAAAGTCAAATTAATGATACATGACACGTGAACCGATCTAGTACAATGTAAACATGTTTGCTAAAATTTTATAATTGATGCTTATCATTTATTTGCAATATTACAAGTGTGTTTGATGCCATAGGTAACGAAGTCATACGCTCTGAAGAAAACAACCCTTCAAATTTAATATTAAAATAGAGAAAAACAGAATCCCTAAAGAAAGTCCAACACAACAAAATTGAAAATGTTGCAGGCTCGGTTTGATTGTGCCTGTTCATAAACGGTACTGGAAAGTACAAGTTACCGTCCACGCCCAGTAGCATCGGTTTGAAAATGGTGAAATTTTGAATTAAGAAACATCCGCAGATGTGTTCATACGGCGGTTATCATGGAACCTTCAATGTGACACAGGAGTGCCATTCAATGAAAAGCGGCATAAGGTCCCCAAGTAAAAGAATGTTTTTGCCCTAAACGAGATAATAATGGCGGAACTAAAAAAAATGGAATTTTGAACTAGAACTGTGCGAGTTGGATGTGTCGCCTTGCGAACAATATAGTTTAGGAGAAATGGTCAGGACAAAAATGAAATACGAAAACTAACAAAGGGCAATAACTCAAAAAATAAAAAGTGCAGAGCAACAGTTTCTATGCACTGCACTTCTTATCAATAAGATCTATCATTCTATGAAGTTTCAAGTCCATATCTTTTATAATTTATGAGAAATGGCCTGGACAAAAATAAAGTATGAAAATATATAAAGGGTAAAAACTCAAAAATAAGAAATGCAGAGTACCGGTCCTTGTACACTGCAATTATTTTTTAATGAGATCTATCATCCTATGAAGTTTCATGTGTATAGCTTTCATACTTGAGGAGAAATGACCTGGACAAAAATAAAGTATGAAAATTAACAAAGGGCAATAACTCAAAAAATAAGAAATGCAGAGTATTTGTCCTTGTGCACTGCACTTCTTCTAAATGAGATCTATCATCCTTTGAAGTTTCAAGTCCATAGCTTTTATACATTAGTAGAAATGGCTCGGATAAAAATAAAGTATGAAAATTAACGAAGGAAAATAACTCAAAAATTAGGAAGTGCAGAGTACCGATTCTTGTGCACTGGACTTCTTCTTAGTGAGATCTATCATTGTATGAAGTTTGAAGTCCATAGCTTTTATAGTTGAAGAGAAATGGCCCGGACAAAATTAAAGTATGAAAATTTACAAAGGTCAATAACTCAAAAATTAAGAAGTGCAGAGTACCGGTCCTTGTGCACTGCACTTTGTGTTATTGAAAGAAGCATGCATACCAAGTTTGAAGTCTATCCAACTTAAATTGACTGAGTTATGCTCCGGACAAGCTTTAGGGGACGCCGACGCCGACAACGACACCGACGACGCGTCGCCGACACCGACCGACACCGACGGCCGACACCGCCGACGCCGCCGACAAAAGTAATCCCTATATGTCACCTTTTCAAAGCGACACAAAAAGGATCTGAGGTAATAAAGCCTGCGTATCATATATGACGTCAAAAGACAATTTTAACAAAGCAGGCAACACATCCTAAGGGTGATTATACAGTGTTCAAGTAGGAATACTGGAACCACCCTAGTTGAAAATGGCCGAAAAGAAGGAACTAAAAGTACCACATAAGATGTATACACAACAATAATGTCGTGCTGAACGATCTTCAAGGATCGAAAATATAACATCATTGATTAAATGTACGGGGAGACTTTTTACAGCCGCCACAAAAATAACATAATAAAAATGATAAGATCTTAAATAGTTCAAGATTCATGAAGTTATTATAATTTTTCGAATTATTGCAAATCCACTTTGAACTTACTTATCTACTGTTATTATTTGCATACCAACCAAATTATCAAATTAAGATAAAATTATATTTTAAAGGTTTTCAATGTTTCATGTTTCATGACAATATTGCATGTCTTGTATGAAAACAAACAAAGAAAAACAAACACAAAATTAAAATTTTGTGAATAGTTGGACTACAAATCTTTGAGTTTTTTTCAATCTGGCATTTTTCCTCATATAAATTGGAAAAATCTTTTCTTATACCGATAGTTTTTTTTTGTAGATTTCTATTCTTATCTTAGATTTTGGACGGATTAAATCTCATTAACCATTGCATAGTGGCGGACATACGTATGAGGGACAGACCTATAAGTCCACTCCAGTGAAATGTGGAAGATTGATAACGACTTACTTAGATTAATATTGTCAGGCGGAAAGTTTACCGCCCAGAATAAAGATGTATTAATGACATGCTAGACCCTCGAATCTGTCCTTGATTTCGCCAGTCTTAGGATTGTATTGACCGATACGTTTATTATGTGTAGAACAAATTTTACTTACGTCTTCTAAGTTCATCATACTCCGTTCTTGTTAATTTTTCTTCCAACATTTGGTTAAGTTGTTGCTCTATCTCCTCTGTATTTAACCCTCTCTCTTTATAAGTCAAAAGGTCTGCAAGCTTGCTCTGATGTGTCATCTCCAGACGTTTTTTGAAGTCTGTGTAGCCTTTAATGCCTTTTGATCTTACTCTTGTCAAAATAGCTTCGTTTTTCTTTGTTGTATTTGACTCTTCCTATAATAGTGTGCTAGCTATAGTCATTTTGATATACATATTTGAATCGTTTGATGTCAACATACAGTTGCTATCGTTAAAGTTCGTAGCTGCATACACATTTTTGGATCATGTTACCAATTTTTGCTCACAGTGTTAAAACTGCAAATTACCTAGCTTCCACCCTTGTTGTTTAAGAAAGTTACATTCTTAAGATTTAATACATGTTCTTTTTATGAAAAAGAATTCCGAGACAGGCTATATTCTAGACCAATATATTCCAGGATCGAAACAAAATTATTTGACTTCAATTCAATTTCTGAGAAATTTTCAGCCTTATTTTAAAGATAAAACAACGTGTATTTGATGCTGACTATTTACCTGAATATCTCGTTTGTCAATGAAGTCGAATAATTCGAACCCTGTGTCCAGGTGGATAATTTCATTGGGTATCAGATATTTTTTCAGGTTTCTTGTGTTCTGATCCAAAACCTTTCGCCAGCCTTCCATTTTAGATTCTGGAGATTTTGATGCCATTGATTCTTTATCAATATATTTAAAATAAACTTATAAATAACGAAATAAAAAAAATCTTACGAAGCTGTCATTTCTTAATCAAATGAAACTCTTCATGTCAAGAATTCTCTTTTGAAGAGTAATTTGCAAAATTTAGGCCAAATAAATACATAAAAACGTTTCAAATATAAAAAAAAAGAAAAAAAGAAAGAAGAGGAGAACCTCAATGGCAGAACAATATACGCTCGTTGATACGATTTTGGAAATTAACTTAGATAACTCTTTTAGAAACGAGCCTAGCTCCTGGCAGTTAGATACTAGAAGTACCCCAGTGGCCAGCCATTACATATTCATGTTTTTTCCTTAGCAACGAGGGATTTTTATGAGCATGGCTAACATTATTACATGCATCCAAAACTCATATATGTAGAAATGAACCAAGTTACCAAAAACTGGTTAGAATTGAACATAAATGACAGTTGGCGCACATAACTGAGCAGAATCTCTGTCTTTTTATCGGAAGAGTATACGTGTAGAAGTAACTTCACAGATAGAAGTCAAGTGCTCCCGAATGAGCGTTGATACCGATTGTACAACGGAATGTCATGACAGTAAAGACAAGCTCTTGGAAATTAATATGCCTGCCTCCAGTGCTATATAACCTGATGGTTTCACATACAGACGGTATTAGAAACTACTATCATGCACTATCAATAATTCAAATCATAGTTGTTTTTTGCACATTCATGTGCTCCGACTCATATAATATATCTTTAGTTCTTCATCTATAACTGTGAAAGAAAGAATTAAGTTCGACGCTAGCACTACCCGAAATTTTGAGTCATATCATTTTTCACTCTATCTACAATTAAAGCTAAGCTGAAGTCCAAATAAGTGTACCATGAAATAATATTCCATGTCTTTCTGTTGGCTGAGCGCTTAAATATAGGATTGAAAACTGGCCATTATTCAACGGTTAAGTTTTTCTTTTTTTATTTAATGGGCATCATTACAAATTAAAGTTGACCTGCCTCGTCTGTTACAATTGTTTGAGAGCATACTGCCCTTCCATAGCTTTGACGCTACGTATTGGGTGTTTCTTACCTTGTTTCTCTACCAGTTGCCGTACCAAGTCCACTTGTTGTTGTATGGGTGTCATAGGAAGTGGTGTAGGTGCTCCTCGTGTGCATGTAGGTACCATAGCCGGAGGTGTAGGTGCTATTTGTGTGGGTGTAGGTGGCGTAGCCAGAGGTATATATGCCCTTGTGTTGGATACATTTTGATTAGCCAGAGATGTATGCGCTCTTCGCGCGGATATAGGTGACCTAGATGGTGGTGTATCAATCGAAGGTATCATCGCGGTGACTGCCTTTGGTATAGTTGTTACGTGCGGTATCTGTGCTATTGGCTTTGATCGCCTATTACGTACAGTCGGTTGGTCACGATCCTTAAATCTGACAGGTTCTTTCCTTTTTTGAGCCGAGCGTGTCATATTCTCTTAAATGTAAAAATATCAAAAAAATATCGTTTTAAAAACATTTCTGTCTTCTTTTCAGTACAATTGTACAGTATCACATCTAAAACCAGACCCTCTGATAACAGAAAACCTCTGACAACCGGGCCCTTTTTCCAATAAATCCATTGAATAATATTCTGTTAATACCGGACTCTCTGAAACTGGAAAACTGAACTGTTTTCTATAGCTTCGTATAGTTAACATGTAAACATGCATAAAACATCTTCTAAATGTCGGACGGCAATTCAAGTGTCCACTGCCTGTGTGAGTTCATGAGTACATTTGTATTTTAACATAATAAACTGATAAATCTTCAACTACCAGTTATGGTTATCTAAATTATCTATTTAAATATCATATACTTTTTTTCTTGCATAGGTTTGATTTTTCAAAATGTTTAGATTTGTTCTGTTTTTTTATAACATGTAGGCATACATTAGTGAGATCTGTTTATGGTGACAATGGTGCATTCCTGTTTTTTTTTCTAGTAGTCCATGGATGTAAAGAGGGCGGTGTTAGGAACCCAAACAGGTCCAGAAAACAAAGCCGTGGTAGGGATTTGGTGAATGTGGACCGAGGAGAGAGGGCGGCTATGCCTCCGCAAGGTCCACGATTTTTATCACTTATCTATAAATGTTTTATTATGCTTTTTCATGTAAATTTACTGTGCATAAACCTACATCAGATGGATTATCTATACATGTATAAAAGTTAAAAAGGCAAAATATTGCTGTTTTTACAAACTGATGGCCATTTCTTCAAACATTTTTTTGCATAGAATATATATGAAATTTAAGACACATGAATGTAATCATGTCTACGGTTTATACGCGAGTGCAAAAAATCTCAGTATACATGTATAAACCACACTATTGCCTGTACTCGCAAGAAAGATACAAGTGAAAATATATATGAAAAATATACGTATTTCTCGTTATGTCGCATTGTCGATCAATGACTTTCCTTTTTAGAAAAAATAATTTTGACTCTTGATGTCTTGGGACAAGTAGTAAAATACGAAATGCTCCCTAGAATATGTTTTATACCGCTTGTTGAAAATTTACAACCTCTCTCTTTTGCAAGATGCTGGATCCACATATGCAAACAATTATTATTTTTAGAATTCAATAGTTGCTTCAAGTATACAGGAACATGCGTCAGTAACGTTGGTCATAGAAAGTTCTATTCATGTGGGTTGATGCATTTCTAGAAACTCAAAGATTCCACTTACTTATCTAATGATACCATTGTATTTATATATCTAACTTGTTATATTTTTTGCATAGATTCGATCTTTCTACGACAAACGTTACTGATAAGAAACAACAACAACAAAGACATGGGGTGTTTTAAGATAATTAATACGGTGTCCACATCTTATTATTGACCAAGTTGTACGGTGCCTTTAGAACACCTGGAAATCATATCAAATATACAATAAAAGTGGTGTAACGTGTTCAAACGACAATAATGTACAAATGCATTAAGGTATTTCGATCACTCATATGAACTAAACGGACCAGAAAGTCGTTATCGCAATCAAAGCAATATTTTTCACAGTGCGCCCGAACTGTTTTTAAATATCTTGACTTAGTAAGTGACGAATTTTCAACGTAGTGACCCAGCAAACACCCGACATTGATACAACGTTGGAAATTGGTCGCGACGTCGGCGACCTTCATACAAAGTCAAACCAACGTTGAAATCCCGACGTTTAACAGACGTTTAATTTTGTCGTCGACTCGACGTCGGGTTTTTGTCAGTAATCTGACGTTAGGTAAATTTAATTTATAAAACCAATATGTATAAATGAAAGCAAAAAAAGCAAGAATTTCAAATTTGTTTAGAAAGGGAAAGTTATACATTTATTTGGTCCATCACAACAACAACAGTATCACGTGGGTGGCTACCATAAGATATTCGTTAGGTGGCGCTCGATAAACGGATAGTCATATCAGTATAATATATAATACATTTGCTCTATTTTCTTTTTAATAATAACTAATCTCCTCGGATTTGTCAATTCGTTTATATAATTCAAAATGAAGTTGTAATCATTTTGTGGGCTTAAGTTTATGGTGGTAAATTATTTAGTAAATACTAATTGGTGACTTATCAGATTTTATATTCATTTGTATTGGCGGACAAAAAACGACGGGTTGACAGACAAAGTTGTATATTACAAACAAAAAGAAAAGGGTAGGCAAACTTTATACGTGTGTATTGTTTTCTTTTCAGTGCTAATTTACGCATGTTTGCATGAAATTGACGATTAATTGATAATTGTAATGTTTGACTGGTAAAATGTAATGTCAAATGATTTCGCGAGATAAATGTTTGCGTTTGGTAGACAAACATTTCACTATTGGGACAGTTCACACCAAGACGGTTGACACCAAGGCGTTTCACTCCCTGTTTATACCCAAATAATACCCGTGAAATATACCTTGAATTTAATAACATGAATAAAAAACATAAAGGGAATTTCATTTTGTCTCATTAAGATTGGATATCATAATTGTTAAAGTTTAATTAGTTTATTTTACTTGACTTGAGCAGGGTCTTTCAAATAGAATGGTCGAATATTATGTAAACCCTTCTCGCTCAGTTTAACCATGTCTCGGCCGAATATAGTATAATTTGCGTTACGCATTAAGAAAAGGAAGAAAATTGAATACATGAGCAAAAATGAAAATTCTAACGACATGTTGTTCTTTAAAATTCTTTTAACTTAAAAAAGGATAAATATGTCAAAATAAATGTTTTTAAAGCCATTTATGTTGAAAAATGATGGTTCAGAAAATTGCCGATAAACGGCGCCATTTTGAAAATGCACCAAATTAAACATCCAATATTTGTAAATAAAATCATGAAATATTATACATGCAGAAGACGCGTGGTAAGAACCACATTAGCGTTGTTGGAACGCCTTGGGAGCTCCGATTAACGCCGTTTACAAACACACAAATCTCAAAAGAAACGCCTTAAGCGCGTATATGTCTTGGCGGGCGCGCCCTGAGAAAACAGTGTGATCGCATAGGTTGCTGTAAGAGCGGGACTGTTTTAGAATTTGAATTCTTTGGTCTTTTCTCGCGGTTTCGTCATTTTTGCCGGCAAACTTGTATATTATCTGGTCGCCTAAAGGTCGCAGATAGTCGCAGTCCATCGTGCCGTCACTATTAAGTGGACAATTAAATACAAACATGTATATATGTGGAAACATGTATAAGACAAGCTATTATTTTTTTTCAAATCAATTATCAACAGAAATAATTTTGGAAACTTTTAAAATGTTAGTTTTCCGAAATAAGGCTATTCTAACTTTATATTTTGCGGAATAGTTACATTTCTAATCGAAAATAAATGAAAATATTGTCGAACAGATGAAAAGTAAATCACTTATTACACATGTTTTGCTAATTTATTGTGCATATTCATATAAAACACGCCTACAATTGAAAATAAATGACGTTGGTAACTAGAAACGCAATGAAACAAAATGGCCCTGAAATCGATCATCTGTATATAGGCCCCCGGGACGGGGCCAATTTAAATCCCGGGGCTTTTATTTAAACAAAATTGGTAGCCACCAATTAGAAGATGTTTCATGATTATATCTTAGCTCTAGCTTTTTGGGGTTTTTAAAAGAAAATTTTTAAGTTTTTTCTTTACATATACAGGGAAAACCAATGACCCCGGGCGGGCCAATTTTATCCCCAGGGACCTTATTTGAACCGATTTAGTAAACACCTATTAGAAGATGTTTCATGCTAAATATCTTACCGCTAGCTCTTAGCGTTTTTTTAAGAAAATTTTTTAGTTTTCATTATAAACATAAAAGAAATAACAATGACCCTCTGGGTCGGGGACAATTTTGACCCCAGGGTTTTTACTTGGACAAACTTGGCAGACATCCGCTAGCAGATGTTTCATGCTTAATATATTAGCTCTAGCTATTTTTTTTTTTTAAGAGACGACTTTATTAGTTTTTACTATATAAATATAAGGACAATCAATGACCACCTCCGGGCGGGGCCAATTTTGACCTTAGGGCATTTACTTAAACAAACTTGGTAGACACTGACTAGACGATGTTTCATGCGAACTATGAAAATGGTTTAGCAGTTTATTAGGAGATGTCGTTTAAAGTATAAGTTTACAGACGGACGACTGACGGACGGACTCCGGTCGAAAAGCGATCAAATAAGCTCACCATTTGACATGTGTGCTAAAAAGGAACGCTAGTTAAATAAAATCCGTATTTCCATCATTAGAATAAGTGCACCATTAGTTGAGGCTTTTTATATATCTAAATATTAATGAAAAGACGGTTAAAATCTGTTCTATCAAAACTTAAAAATAATAACATTGCTGCAATCCGAAATTGAGAAATAGCAACCTGATCCAAATGTCAGATAACGATCAAAGGATCAAAATCCATTCCGAAGTTAAATGTAGATTATCTTTGCAGAATTCACATGTGTAAAAAATGGGAACCAGTCGTGATCAGTGGAAGTAACAATGGCAAGTCATGCGATAAGTCTATTTACAAATATAATGGGCGTTTAATTCAATTTTGCATTATTTAATTCAGACTTGCGTAGTAGGTAACTCTTTCATATTGTGATAAATCATTTATAGTAGTAAAATGTTTTGGAACATTTAACGGCATATGCCAGTACGGGAAATTGACTGTTTGGGAAGTCAGAATTGGGGGTTTCCCTACATCCCGAACAGGAAGATTGTTACTATATTTACTATATATTCATTCGATCTTAAAACTTAAAATGCAATTTTAAACTAGAAAATAGAATTAGGTTTTTATCTCTCAGATTAAAAAAATCCCTTTTTTGTGATATTTTAAATGGTCATTTTCTGCAAAAATGTAAAAAAAAAAGCAGAGCTTTCTGATTCGGAAACAAATTTCCCAATCGGGGAAAATCATTTAACAAATTTGTTTAAAAGTGTTGTACAAA